AACAGCAAATTCCCAAAGTTATTAGTTACTGTTTGTTTGTGGGAGACTTTGCTTGAGCTAGAGAAAATTTTTATTTTATGCTACTTCTAACATGAGTTTGCTCTGCAATGCCTTATTTTTTGAAGAACACAGCAGTACAAGTCAGGAATTTACTGGGTTTCTTTCAACTGAAATTAGATTTTCTGAAATTAATTTTCTGAATTAGAGAATGTTTCCTTCCTCTGATTCTCCTAGTGGCACAGTTTATTACAGAGCCAGGAGTGGACCATATGGTCCATAAAAGCTTTGTACTGGATAGTGGTAGAACAAAACATTGTCTTCATGTGAACTTCACTGAGAAAAAGACCTGTCATTACGTGTCCTAAATACACTTGAGAGCAAGCAAATCTCATCTGAAATACATGGTGAAGTGTATGTTCCCTATTCTAGACAAAAATAGCTTAGAATGCTTAATTCTGCTAGACTGGCTCCTTGAACTGAGTTTTCAGTATCTATAGTTCTTCTTCACAGTGTTGTGTAGTGTTCTCTTCTGATTTGCAGTAAGTCTAGAGAGAAGTGATACCCCACATGAGTATTTGCCTCGTGTGATGTTTGAGGCTTTCTGGCTTGTAGTTTACAAATTTTGCTGTGCTATTTTTATCCTAATTTTATATTTAATTACTTTTTATTTACTTCATAAGAACATAAAATAATCCCACCAGACCGTCAGTTCAGGACACATCAACAATAAATTGTTTGTCTGTCAGCCAATGAACCACTCCAAGGCAAGACAAGAAGCTACTGTACATATCAACTGATGCAATTTATAGCATCAGCTGATATGTACTTAAAATATTATGGCATTGACTGCATACAAAGATTACACTGTAAAAGATTAACTAGGGTAAATTAAATAATTGATACACTTTGAAGCCTATAGATAAGAGGATTGATGAAGGGTCCTGGAGTCTTTTACTCATGCTAGCAGTCCCATCAAAGTCAAATGCTATCAGCACTCTCTGAAGTCTGCTGGAAAAACTTTGAACTGAGACCCCTTACTCTGAAGTGCGACCATTCCATTCTATCCCCTTGTTTTTGCAGGTCAGGCTCAAGAAGTAGGACTCAGAGTGATTCAACAATTTCATGCTTTTTTGTTGTTGTTGTTTTTGGTCAGAAAGTCTATGGAGATGTGGCGTATGGGATCAAATCAGCCCTTCATTTCCTCTGAAAGTTTTTGAGACAGCACTAAGGGTTGGACTCGATGATCTCGGAGGTCTTTTCCAACCCAATCGATTCTATGATTCTAAGCAGTGGAAAAGCTTGGCAGTACAATGTGTGTCCAAGAATCAGGCACTGAAATGCAGCTATAAAGCCCACAGCTTTGTCAATTTTATCTTTTATATAAAATGGCAGTGAATTGTTCAGGAATGAAAATCTATTACTATTGCTACTATTATTTATTAACGTTATTATTATTATTACTATTATTGAATGATACTTCCTCTCTGAAAAATTATTGTTTCTTAGCCAGTGCCACAAGCAATACTTTTTTGAGTACATATCACATGACAAATCTCTGTCAGGCAGTGTCTTGTTCATCCAGCTGTGCTCTACCAGAGACTGTTGTTAGGTATGTATTTGCCTCAGCCTCTAACATCACTTGTCAATGATTTTTTTTTTCTGTTTGTCCTCATGATGACCTGAAAACCTGAAGAGAGATTAGATCCAAGCTAGCATATAAGGACTAGATTAAAAAAATTAATGAATGAGAAATGCAGGGAAAGGACTGTGAGGAAACTACAAAAATTCTACCTTGCTATATCCAAAATGTAGTGCTGTGGGCACTGTTGAGCCCCTGTGTCCAGATGAGCACCCTGCCCTGATTGTGATGCTGTTTTTGGGTAAGATCCTTCTTCTTTCTCCTGGGTCTCTGTTGCAAAGACAGCATGGCTGCACAGCATGGCAGAAGTAATTAATAGTACCTAATTTGTCCACCTGGGGAAAGCAGGGTCCCAGAGCAGACTGTGATGCTTGCTTCTCTGACAATCATTTGAAATTACTGGGCAAAGCTGATTCTGAGATTTCCAGCTGGCTGGTTGACACCTGGTGCTTGTACAGGGGTGCTGAAGAAGAAAAGTTATACCTCCCCTGAGACCATATCAGGGCTGCAGTCTCATGTATCCAAGAACATGGGTGTGTGCAGCTGAGGCTGTAGCAAACCTCTCATCCTTGCAGGACCAGGACCTTTGAGAGAGGGCCAAGGACATGAGCTCCCTGACAATAGCTCTTGCAGAGGTACAGCCACAGAAGGGGGGGGTGTTCTGACCTGCTTTTGAGGACATTTCCATATATGCATTGTCTAGGGTTTCTGGGGAGCTCAAGGATTGTATTTGCTGACTGTGTGTCTTTTCCCCTAGAAGTAGGGCAGCTCTTCACAGTCCCTAGCCTCAATCTGACATAACTTGCTAACCCACACTGGTTCTGCTTCTCCTCTCTAGAACTAATTTTCTGTACAGGTTCAGTGTGTTGAGTTTATTCTGTGTTGTGGTCAGGGGGGGATTTTTTGTGGTTTTGGCTAGACAGTTGTTGTGACTTGACCACTACTTATCCCACAGCTCCTAGTCATCTTTAATGTTGCTTTGCTTTTGTGACATTCACGTGCTCTCCACTGCCTTATGTGCAAGCCTTTGACTTTTTCTGAGTAGGGATTGCTTTTTGTGGTGTTATCTGAATATCCTGTGGAGTTCCCTCATTGAGGCCTTGCATACCACTACAGAGCATTGACAATATTAATGAACTCAGCAGAAATAGCAATACTGCAAAAGGGAAAACAGCCATTAGCTGTTTTTAAGACATGAGGAAAGAGTACCGAAGTGAGAGCATCAGGACAAGTGCAAAGATGTCATTCCCAAGATGATGTTTTCCACCTACATGGTACTTGCTGTAAAATACAATATCTCAGATGAAAATAAGCTGCTTGAAGTATGTTTTTTATGTCCCACCTCTGGCAGTTGAGATTTGCTCCAGATCATGGTCATGCTGCTCTCTCTCAACTCCAGGCAGTTTGTCTCCCCTCTCCTCGACCAAGGGGCTGGATTTTACAGGAGGATCCTGCAAAGCACTAGCAACGGGCTATCAGCTCCGCTATCTCCCAAAGGCTGTGTAACTCTTAGCATACAGAACCATGCCAGGCTCAGAGCACTTTGTTCGCCGGACTTTCCCGAGAGCTTTCCCCCATTACTAAATGTTCCCGATCAGGACAAACAATGATATGTACAGGGCGAAGGGATGCGCCGGGTGGTCAGGATAACTCGGGAAAGCCGTTTGGCTCTCCTTCCCCACTGGAGCCTCGGTGGCGAAACTCATCTTCCTGGAGCGCTTCCAGCAAAGCAGGGCCGGGCGGGCGCAGGAGCTCCGGAAGGCGGGTCAGCCCCGGGGAAGGCGGTGGCAGCGACGCCCGCCCCTCTCACCTGGGCAAGCCGGCACGGAGCGCCGGCTCTGCTCCCTTCCGCTCCTTGGAGGATGAACGGGCCGGGGAGGAAGGTAAGGGGAAGCCAGGTGGGTCAGGGGGTGGAGGGGCTATCCCCGGGGCTGACCCCTGCTCCGGGGCGCCCGAAGCCGGGGCACAGTGGCGTCGGGTGCTGACACGCTGCGGGCGGCGCGGCGGGATCAGAAGGGATGTGTCTTATGGCCAGTGCCGCCGCGGCGTCTGCCTGGCCCGGCTCAGCGCGGCTCGGCTCGGCAGGAGCTGTGCTCAACAGTGGCCGAAGCCCCAGAGCCTAAGGGTCATCCTTCCCGTTGGTGCGGTGACCACTCGAGAGGGATTTGCTGTGTAGATATTTCAAATATTCCCGGAGTAGAATCATCAAGGGAGCAGAGTTGTGTCGTTAAAGTAATAAAGAGTGAAGAGTAAGGAAACGACCACTGAAGTGCTGCTATGGGGACTGTTCAGTGCTGGCAGGAGAGCTGCAGTTGCTTTTCTTAACTTTGAGCACTGTGAAGTACTTGATTCCATCCAAACCAAAGGGTTTGCTGGAGAGCAGCAGCCTCAGACTTTTAAATGTAATCACTATTGTCCTAGAAAATTTGCTTGTAACTAGAAGTATCTGACCACTGTACTGCAAAAAGTTAAGCTCCTCCAGGGTAATAATGCTAATACCAGTTGCTACTGCTGGTGGCTGAAGACTGTTGTTGCTATGTATTTCTATATGTTACTCTTCTTCTTCAAAGCAGTGTAGTAAAGGTATACTGTGTCTCTCAATATAACATTGATACTAAGAACAATACCAGCTTGGCCCATTCTAAAGAAAATGACTGCAGGTGTCCATCCCCAGGAGGGAATCTTCATCCCTGGGGCAGCTCATCACTTGTCAGCAGTGAGGAGCAAAAGCCCAGGACTGCATCTTCCCCTATCCTTAGAGAGGGAGAAACAGCTGTCGACAGAGGAGAGCAGGAACCAATGCTCTTCCTTGCTCACACACAAAGGGGTGGAGAAGGTAGCGAGTGAAGGAAGGCCTCCTGCCTCTCTGTGCACTCTCAGCACAGTCTGTGCCTCACAACATTTTCAGTGGCAAGGGCTGCTCATGGAAAGGGAACCAGACTGAGTTCCCTCTTCAACTTTGCTCCCTTGAAACAAGCTTCTCCATGAGTCAATTTCCCCACTTGCAAAATAATGTAAAGGATTTTATAAACTTCTGGGGAAAACTGAGATAACTGGCATTGTCCAAAACAGTCATAATCTGAGTGTTAAAGGAAGGCCAAAGGCAAGTCCTATAGTGAGTTTAGCAATCAATCCCAGCAAACTCATTCTGACTGAACAATTCCTACCTGATGGTATCTTATTGTAGGATGTTGCTAATAGGAAACTTATTTGTAGCACTCACAGACACAGTGTAACAAACCCATGGTAAATTAATACAGTTTTGCTGCAACAAGTGATTTTTCAAAGTTATGAAATGAAAGTTTGGGGCAGGAACTAAAAAAATAGGATGGTTTTGGTTGAGCTGGAGAAAGGTCGTTGCTTTCAGTGATGTTGCTCTTTATTTCATTGTTTAGAGAGTCATTGGATTTGTGAACTGAAAAACACATTTTGCTCTTTCTCAGGCAAAAGAAATAACCTTCACCATCTGTATTTAATATCTTTTTGTTTTGCAAGTGCTATCATTTATTGTATTTTTGATGAGTAAAAGCATGAGATTAACATTGTATAATATAAATTATCAAATACTGTAAAGGTGGGGATTTTTTAACAAAACAGAGGTATGTAGAGAAGAATTCTATTCTAGCTGTCGTGGCTATTATTTTTCTCATATCTAGTTTAACTTAAAACACAGCATGTAGTCTGGATAATTTACTTTGCTCTAATCTGGGTATGCAGCATGTTAGTTTTTACTGTAGTTTAGAAATTTTTTGGACCAATACGAAAGGACTGAGCCTCCTAACTGTTGAGCTTCCTAAGAGCCTAGTGATTTTTATTTTTTTTTCTTTTGGTACAGGCTTATTTATACATTCTTAAACTGGTTTTACAGTAAATGAACCATGAATAGAGGTAACTGTCGCCTATAGCTGGTTGTCAAGTACCAGATTTTCATGTCTCTGTAAAATGCAACCTCTGAAGTAGTATATTCTTACTGCAATGAACTGGGATTTAGAGATGTTACTTCCAATAATGCCAACATAAACTTAGCAATCTATTCGTAGCATAAAGACTTAATATTGAGGTCAGAGAGAAACCTATGCCTGGCTTTGGAAGGGATATAAAGTTTGGAGGAGCATATATTCCTCGTTTTGGAGGGATTTGCAGGTGTAAACACCATAGAGAATGTATACCCACTGTTTTCTGCTAGAAAAAAACATACAAGATGCTTCAGGTTTCCACTGCCACATTCCACAATCAGTCATATGCTTAAATTCATCATGCTGAAATTAGTCATGTGTAAGAAATTGGTTTCCTGTGAGCATAAAATTTGTTAGGATTTATAAAATTGCAGTTAAAGCCAGTGAACACTCTTTAGTAGTGGAAAAACTGATACATGTGAATATTTTCCAGTGTCTGGATGTACTGACTTCATTCTAGGGCCATACTAAATATGCATTTCTGAGGGCACTACATCAACTGTTCCTTGTGTAAGTCATTGGTTGAATTAGCACGTGCTGCTTACAGTAAAGCCTTCTGCTTTAGTGGACATCTGTCAAAGCATCCTGCAGCAAGATGACTGCAGGAGCATGACTTGAGTGTGCTACGAGAGGTGGTGCAAGTGTGCATGCATGTGTTTTAAATATTTCCTCTTTCTCCTTGTTCAGTAAATTCATGGTTGTCTTCTCACAGGCAAGATGCAGGAAGAGTACTAATGTTAGGAAAAATAATCTTTAACCTTCCATTTCTTCAGTTCCTACTTCAGCAAGAGACAGTCATCCTTCTCCTCTGCACCCACTCACTCAGTTCCACTTCTGTTTCTGCTCACACTAGTCGTCACTTGTTTGTTCTGTCTCTCTAAGCTCCTTCTTAGCCCCCTGTTTCTGAGGAGAGACTGGGAGAGTTGGGATTGCTCAGCCTGGAGAAGACTCAGAGCATATCTCATCCATGTTTAACTGAAGGAAAGGTGCAAAGAGGACAGAGCCAGGCTTTTTTTCAGTGGTGCCGAGTGAGAGGTCCAGAGGCAATGGACATGGAACAATTTGGAACATGGGAGGTTTTCTCTGAACATCATCAGGGAACTGTGAAGGTGACTGAGCATTGGAATAGTTAGTCCAGAGGGGTGGTCTTCATCCTTGGAGATATTAAAAAAAACATCCAGATATGCCCATCCTGAGCAAAACAATTGAGGTGGCCCTTCTTGTGCAGTGAGAGTTGGGCTGGATAACCCTTCCAAACTCAGCCATCCTGTGATTCTGATGTCAGGCAAAGCATTGTTACTCTACCCACTCTTCTGTTGCTTTTCAGCAGTCCGCACAGTTCCCCATCCTGCAGCCTTCTCAAGCGCTCTGGCACTTTGCACAGGCAAGCTCATCTTCTTTAGTGATGCCCATTACCCTAAAACAAACAGTACAGGGAGAGCTACTTGAGGACTGCATTTAGCAAAGCTTCTCCAGAGTTGTGACTTCTTATTCCTACAACTTATTTTTTGACATCAACTCAAATGTTATACCTAAGCAAGGGAAATGCATGTGAGAATGGGCAGATACCTGCAATGCTGTCTGAAATCAATTGCAAAGTTGTCACAGAATTCAGTAGGAACAGGGCAGAAACTGGAATACTGGGATGTTAAGGAAACCTGGGTATGGAGTGACTGATGAAATATCTGATAACTGATATCAGTTCAGAAAAATGGACTGTGAATAGCCAGCAACACAGTTTAGGGTGTGACAACATTTTCACCAAGCTCTGTCTGCAAAGTCAAAATATGATTTATGTTCACATCCTTTACTAAAATTCTAAATGCTGTTGATTCCTGGGGTGGTTAAATTCCCATGAGCAAAGTCTCAAACTATATAGTCAACAATTCTTAGATATCTTTTGGGGAACATTGTTTACACTAGCGTATGGGGTTTGAGTGGCATTCCCGAGCTCCTATTCTAGTGCAAATCTCAGATGTAGTCTTCAGCAGGTAACTCAAATCCCCTACTTTAATTTCCCAACCAACAGTAGAAAAGAAGAGAGACTTGAAAATATTGCAAGGAATACACACAAGTGTATTTGTTATTAAGTGAGCTTTTAGGACACATTCATCTCCAACTAGGTGCATTATGCTCTGAGAGACTGTGAGGTCTCATCCAGAACTGCAGACTGAGCAGCAAGAAAGGCTGCATGGTTGGGTGATGAAGCACAGTCTGCTTCAGTCTGCTTACACTGAGCCTGCCTTCAAAGTGGTCCTCAAAGACAGCCACCAGCAGAGCAGTGTGGCAGCAGGCAAACATGCAAACACGTGCAGGATGTGAGCCACAACTTGATTTGTGAACATTGACAACTAGCAGGGAAAATAATTACCTAGAGAAATTTGATTACCAGGGCAACAGGGGCTCTCTGTGGTAACTGGAAAAGGTAAAATACTATGTCAAACAGGTTGGTGATCTCAGTCTAGTTTCTTAATGGCTGAGTGCCAGTCTATATTTCCATAATTGCAATGACCCATGAACTAGATCAGCAGAGACAGAGTCTAAATGCTTAAAGTCTCTCTAAACTGAGGCATTTTAGCTGTGAAGCTTCTGAATAAACTCATATCTAATCCATGAAAGCACTTCAGGAGCATTAGGAGCACAAATAACATGTTCAAACCACTTTGTCATTCAACATTACAAACCTTGCACCAACCATGCTTCACATTTCTAGTATTTTTACATCACTCATTAAAAACGAGGTGGAGAAACAGCAATTACACATCAGCTAACACTCCAAGAGGAAGAAAAGGTGTATACACAAGTGTTCATTGGTAACTGAGTGTCAGATAAAATACTTTCTTAGGCAGGCAGCGTACTGCTTGGATGACATTACCAATTCCTGAAGGATTTATTATGTGCCATTGAAAACAGAGAGATTTAAACTAAAATCTTGCAAGGACTTAAAACCCACATGTTTAGTTTTACACCTCCTACATAGTTTCACTGAGGTCAATGAAACTATTCACTGTGGAAAGCTAAGAAGGTGCGTAAATCTCTGCAGCATTAAATATTTTGCTTGATTATCTCCCCAGGGACTGAAAACAGGGATTGGCAGCTATCAGACATCTAGGGTAAAATGGCAACTTGTGTCACTGAATATTGGCTTAATTGAAAAACAGCATTAAGAGTTGTAGAACAATTGTGGCCTTTTTTCCTAACTTGCAGTGAGTGCTATGTGGCTCCAAACTGCTCCCTGCAGTACCCCCAACCAACTGACATTTGCTCACCCATGACTAAGGCACATTTTGACTGTCAAAATAAGTTTAGAGAGAGAGAGAGAGAGAGAGAGAGAGAAATGTCGTACTTACGCAAGGCTTGAAAGTAGACTCTCTGCCCGGGTCGCGAGAAGGCTGCATCGCCGATGGCGATGCTTCTCCTCCTCCCCCTCCTCTTCCCCCCTGACTGGGTGCAGACTCGGTGGCCGCAGGCGCTTCGTAAGACGCTGCCGGGGAGGGGAAGGGGCTTAGCGGGTCTGGGATCCCCGGAGGCGGCGCGGAGAGCCGGGCGGGGGTGCCGGGGAGGCGCCCGAGGGGCGGGAGCGGCCGGGGCAGCGCTGGCGGGGGGAGGCGCCGGTGCCGCCGGCGCGGGGTGCGCGGCGCAGGGGCGGCGGCCCCGCAGCCCGGGCGGGCGGGCGGCAGGTGCGAGTGGAGCGGAGCGGGCCGGCGGTGCAGCGGGGCGGGGTGGGTGGGGAAGGGAAGGGATGGGCTGCGCCCCTAGCATCCACGTCTCGCATAGCGGTGTGATTTACTGCCGGGACTCGGAGGAGTCCAACTCCCCCCACCAGACCACCACCATCTCGCAGGGCACCGCCACCCTGCACGGCCTCTTCGTCAAGACAGACGCAGCCGACTCCATTCCCTCCGTCCTCGCTTACCAGAGCCGGCAGCCGCCGCCCTCCGCCGCTCCTCGCCGCAAGGAGCGCAGGGAGTCCGGAGGCGCCTCCGCCCGGTCCAGGACGCCCCACTGCTGCAGCGTCGAGGCGGAGACCCAGACCAGCAGCTCCAGCGTCAAGGTAAGTGGTGGCCGCTCCGGAGGGGTCTCCAGCGGGGCCGCTGTGGGTCCCCGCCGGCCGCGGCAGAGGGAGGGCAGTGCGCGGAGCCGGCGCCTCCTCCGCTGGAGGATGCTCGGCGGGCGGGATGCAGCTGCCGGGAGCGGTGCCCTGGTGCCCACTGACTCACCGCAGCTGCGGCGGCCGGGCCGGGCCGGGCTGGCACTGCTGCGGGGGGGCCGCCACTCCTGGAGCTCGCCCGGGGGGGAGCAGCGGCCGCCGGGCCCCTCGGGCTCCCTCCGCCTCTCTCTGCCCCGCTGATCCTCGCCTTGGAGAGGCTCCGGGGCGCCCTTTGCTGGGATCAGTCCTGGACACCCCGCGAGCAGGGAAAGGGTTCGTTTCGAGCTCTGTGACTGACAGCAGAGAGTAGGCGCCTCTGGGAGAGGCAGAATAAAATCTCCCCCCGTGTAATTCTCAACTGCAACAAACCCGTACCTGCTGTTAGGTTTACTTCATCCCTTTTCCTGCCCCCGTGTCTGGTTCGAATGAACTGTTGCGGCGAGGTGTGGATGTTCGTCTGAGAACAGAATCACTGTGATGCGCACACGTATGCAAGTGCACCTTGCTGGCGTAGGGCTGTGGGGATGCTCCCGGAAGGGCGGCAGGGTCTGTGTCTGTAGGGTATCTGGAAGGCTTGGGTCTCCCTCTCAGTACCTAAGGCAGGTACTGCTGCGACCTGCTTGTCAACGTCTTCATTTAAGTTTAGCACTTTAAAAGAGATGATTGTGCTGGATTTTCTTTTTCTTTTCCCTTTTTTTTTTTTTTCACGATCAGAGTAGGTTTTTCATTAACTTCTCTGAAAGCTTTCTAGAAATTAAGTTTTGCTTTGTTGCCCTCTTCCAAAGCTTATTATTAAAAAAAAATGGTGTCATGATCCTACCTGCACCTAGGATTTCTTTTCTGTTATAAAGCAGGATACCATGTCACAAAGTAATTCCATGGGCTTAAACATATTGAAATATTTTGTTAAGAGATAATGAAGAAATTAAAAAGTTTTATTTCTTTATAATTTAAAAAATCCAGAAATCATCTTTAGGAAAACATAAGTAAGATAAGTCAAAGAAAAAAACCCCACCGAACACCCCCACAATCCACTGTCAGTTTGTTTATTCAAGTGCTGAGAAACTTGCAGAATTGTCTGCGGTCAAATTGACCATTTCACTCATTTAGAAGAACCTGGACAAAGTTCAAGAACAACTGGAATAAAACAATTGTGTTTCTTGGATTCAAGGATTTTGTTGTTTGGGGTTTTTTTTTACATTTCAAAGTGGAATATTTAACACAAAATAAAATTTCTTTTTTTAATGTGGAGGAGAACAAAATAGAAATACTTTCACAATTAAATTGAGAATTGAAAAAAAATGTTAAAGTGGTAATTCAGTTCTTAATAATTATTTATGATTTGCTGTTACATCATGTGCTCTTATAAACAAATATATTTGTCAACTTTCTGGTTATTAAAACTGAAAATATTTCAGATGTTTTTGAACTTTGTCATTGGCACTGTAATCTTATTGATTCAACAAGGCCAAGTACTGTCTGGGTCTTGCCCTTGGGTCACAACAACTCCAGGCAGCACTACAGGCTGGGGCAGAGTGTCTGGAAAGCTGCCAAGAGAAGAAGGACTGGGGGTGGGGAGAAGGGGGTTGTGTGAGAGTGCTGGTCAACAGCATGAGCCAGCAGTGTGTCCAGGTGTCCAAGAAGGCCAATGGCATCCTGGCCTGTGTTGGCAATAGCGTGGCGAGCGAGTTCAGGGGAGGAATCATCCTTCTGTACTTGGCACTGGTGAGGATGTACCTCAAATCAGGGGCCAGTTCAGGGCCCCTCACTACAGGAAAGATATTGAGGTGCTGGAGCAAGTCTAGAGAAGGGCAACAGGGCTGTTCAAGAGTCTGAAGCATAAATCATATGAGGAATAGCTGAGGAAGCTGGGGGTGTTTCTCCTGGAGAAAGGATGCCCAGGGGAGACATTATTGCTCTCTACAACTACCTGAAAGGAGGATGTAGCCAGGTGGAGGTCAGCCTTTTCAGGTGACAGGATGAGAGGAAATGGCCTCAAGTTGCACTAGGTGTGGTTCAGGTTGAACATCAGTAAGAATTTCTTCATGGAAAGTGTTGTGAAGCATTGGAATGGGCTACCAAGGGAGGTAGTGGAGTCACTATCCCAGGAAGTGTTCAAGAAACGATTGGCTGTGGCACTTAGTGCCACAGTCTAGTTGACAAGGGGGATTGGTCAAAAGTTGGACCCAATGATTTTGGACATCTTTTCCAGCCTAAGTGATTCTGTGATTCTGTAATTTTTTTCTATAGTTTCAGTTATTTTTACTAATTATGGGTTTGTTAGGTTTTCTGGTTTTTGGTGTTTTTTTAAAGTTATTGACAAACTGTTTCAATTATATAGTAGAAGTATTCTCATTCTTATAAAAATTAAGATATGTAAAATTTTTTATACAATTTTTAAAATTGAATTAGAGACTCCATTCTTACTGCCAATCTTGGCACAGTTTCGTACAGGTTGTCTGACTAAAGCAAGGTTGGACTATTATAGAACTATCATAAAGGCAAAATCATATATGATACCTGATGGGCTATAAGTGGAAAAGTGTGGAAATATGTTTCTCTAGTAGTATATGATAACAATATTTATTTCCATAGAAGTTCAAAATGAAAATATTTATTTTGGTACAGAAGGAGTATCTAGCAATATTACATGGTTTTAACTGCTGTATTGCTTAGTTGCATGTATCAGCCATATTTGATATTCCATACCATGTGGTGTCATGCTCAGTAGGTAAAGTGGGGGGAAGAAAGAGGAAGAGAAGGATGTTTGAAGTGATGGCATTTGTTTTCCCAAATCACCGTTAGATGTGATGAGGTCCTTCTCTCCTGGAGATGGCTGTATACCTGCCTGCCCATGGGAAGTAGTGAATTAGTTCCCTGTTTTGCTTTGCTCACATATATATCTTTTTCTCTGCCTATTAAAGTGTCTGTATCTCAAGTCACGAGTTATTTCACTTTTACTCTTCAGATTCTCTCCCCATCCCGCTGGTGGTAGAGTGAATGATAGCTGCCCGAGGCTCAGTTGCCATCTGGGGTTAAACCACCACAAAATCTCATCTAACTCTGTTCAGGGGACGAAACAATGGTCAAATGGCTGTGAGCACTATTATGTATTAATACAATTTTCCAGTTGTGTAACTGTTTAACCCACTTAAACCATGCTGCTTGGTGTTTTGTGTTGTAAACTGATCTTTAATTTTTTACACAATCAAGTATTGCATTTGACCCTGTCTTTATACAATGTTTTAAAACTAATCCACACCATAATATGAAACAGGCATTAAAATAAATCAACCTGTAATGATTTCAACACTATTCAATTTAAATAAAATACCAAAAAGGACTGAAAACCAAAACCAAACCAAACAAAACAAAAAAAAAAAAAAAAAAAAAAAAAGAAAGAAAAGACAAAGCCAAAAAAACCCCCAAACACACAATGATCCCACATCAGTTAGAATATATTACTTATCTAAACCTTACTTTTAAAATCTATCTGATCTGTATTCATTTGAGGTGAGATAGTGTTACAAAGGCAAGAGTATTTTTTTGTTTTCTTTTCTTCTCCTTTCCTTAATGACAAGTTCTGAACTTTCAGAGCCATGAGATGTGTTGGTCCCATCCTGCTCACAGTGATTATGAGTAACCATTCAGCAGTTCTGGTATATGTGTGAGTTTCTTTGTGGATTGAAAGCTTGGTAACTAATATCTAAAGCTTGCTGACAAAGATCTCAAGTGGACTTGTTAAGTATTAGAAGATGCACCTGCACCCTGATTTGGAGAAGGACCCACGGTTTCTGGTGCCGAGCCATACACTGTGTTACTAAGGTACTTGGTCAGAAGCACTCAATTAAAAAACAGACATTCCTTGCCCCTGTTCCTTCCTTAATAAAACTAAACAGTATCAAAACAAAGAGTATTAATGTCTCAAACCTTACCTCAGCTTTATATAAAGATACAAGGCATTTAGCTTACATCACTGAAGCATAGCTTTGAACATGGAAAGATGCTAACTGTATAAAGGCTGATTGACCCATTGCTCAACTATTGCTGGTTCTGAAGTGCAACAGAACCAGCAAGGTTTAGCAAGGAGTAAATAGTTTCTTGGACACTTCCTTGGAGATTTAAAAAGGTAAAAAAAGTTTACCTTATCTTTGTTTACAAGTACATCTTTTAATTATGGCCAAATCTTAAGCAGAAGTGTGTGAATAGATTCTCCTTTCTTGAACATCTTGAGGCTTTGGCATTAGCCAAACTTTAAAAACTACAACAACAGACAAGTTTCAAAGCTCTTGTTGCTAACATGTAAGCTAGATGGAAAAAAACCCAAAACCATCTGCAGTCTTCTATTGATTACTTTATTGTATTTTTCGTCTTGAAATTACAAGAACAGCAGGTGTAATGGTTTGGGTTTTCTTATGCTGTGTTCTTTGTGGAAGAGAAAGGTCTGTTTATGAACCTCCCTTGATCAGTCACAATAGGAGCAGGTTTTGACAGTTTTCAGGCTTTTTATAGCAAAATGTTTATTATAAGCAAAGCTCAGAAATAAGAAAAAATACATGGGACATTATCTCTTACCAGCATTGGTCTGTGTTAAGTTCCAAGGTGGAAGTGTTGGAGTGGGTATATCCTTCTCAAAATGTCAAGAACCTATCTTTTACAATTTTTTTTCCTATATCTGGGGGAATATGTAAAAGAATGCAGCTGCCAAATACAAACTGGAGAGCATTGAGAAATCCAGGTACTGAGAAAGTCGCATCAGGTCCATGGGTACCAGAGAAATGCAGTCATAAGCATTGCCTTGATTTTGAGTACAGATCTTCCCTTTAAAGCAGGATCATGTGTAAGAAAAATCACTGTATTTCCTGTTCTGTTTGAAGTATACTCTTGTTTAATTGTCTGCTAGTAAGTTCTGTAGCATGTAAAACACACCAGAGAAGACATTTCTTGAACATAGTTCAAGCAGAAAAGATTGTGGAGGCCAAAAAGTATTGAAATATGTTATGATGCAGAGCCTTGTTAATTCAGGCTAGATGTTCTATAAGAGGTGCTGACCTGAATAACTCTTACCATAAAGGATATTGCTAGTATAGAAGTGGCTCTTCTATGACTAAGCCCAGACATCTTAAATGAATACACTAAAAGGACTTTCGTAAAGATTTACTGTTCTTTATCTGACCTTTTCATTCCTCCTTCGAATGATTCAGGTAAACTTCAGCAAACCCTGTAGTTATGCTTTTAAGCAATGCTATACAGAAGAAGAGTTACAGAACAGATAATACCATTTCTTCAGAAAATATTAAAGCACTTGGCAAAAAGAAGCTTGGTGGATTAAAATGTGACTGCACATTGAGTCACACAGCGTTCTGGACTTCCAAAACTGTTCTTGATGATATGCATTTATATCATTAAATATAAAATGCGCACACACACGTATAGGAAAAGTGTTGGAAGCTTGTAAGAGAGCC